AAAGCTGACAGAAAGCTGATTTGGTGACAGACTTTTTTTTGTGTGACTTGGAACTAAGAGTGGAGTCCAGACTCACTAGTCTGTAACTTGGGGCTGTGGCTCAGCTGTAAAATGGAGGGTTTGATCCTCATGAAGCTCATGCAGTGATCACTGAACACCTAATTCTGCTTCTGCGTCAGCGGCGTGTTTACCTTTCTGTGTTTGATGGATTAGTTAATACTGATGGACACTTTAACATACGAGCCTCTGCCATCAGTGTGTGAATGTGGTGTGAAAGGGTAAGTGTGACCTGTGGTTCAAAAAGTGCTTTGAGTAGTCAGAAAGACTAGGAAAGTTTATTTTGAGAACGGGCAGATGGAGCAGCCCTACATGCCAAGGAGATCTCGAAGCATCTTGAGCAACGTGAGCCACAACCATTAGCTCTGTTTTTATGGCAGTCAAAAAGTGCTGATGTGTAAAAATATGTGGTGGCCAAAGGCCTGACGGTGGAGAATCACATGAAGAAAGTGTAAAGCACGAGTGTTCTGTGCCTGCTAAATACTGTAGAGAAGAAAGAGTGAGTGGTCTTTATTTGTATCCAAAAAAAAAGCTTGGCCAACAAGCGGCCGTTCTTACACCGCTGTTTACTTTAATGAGCTTCAGCACAAACCACCATTACAGATAAATACATGTGGGTTAGGCTTAAATTGAGCTATACTTTGCACTGATGTCAGCTCCTTTAAAACATATTATTAACAATGCAAATCCTCTTTTAGGGAGGTGACATAAGGTGTTTATCTTTATCTTGCTTTGATCATTATGAAAGTGCACAAATCCTGATATTCACTCCCACGGGGAACCACAGATGGATGAACAGATCCTCTTAACTACATTATTGCATATTAATATTCACAGCTGTGGCTAAGTATAGCCCTCGGATCATTATCATTTTCACATCTACCAGCAAATATACCACTGGCAGGGTTTTTCATGTTACAGTATATCAGAGAAATGGCTCATTATTTCTTTTAATGATTTGTCTCACCGGTATTTTTAGGATTCTTTAATCTGCAGTTTGAAGATCTCTCTGCGTGATCTTTTAAGATTTTCATCTTTTGATCACTGGAACTAAAAGGAAAACACACAAGTACATGGCAGGTGCACATATTCTTGCTGCACTTTATGTAAAGCAATGGCATATGCATGTTTTTGTGCAGCAGGTCCCTGAACTTTACACTTTTGTTTTGCACAACTCCAAAGCCTAACTGATGTATGAGCCTATTTAAGATACTAAATCATGCAAATAAAATGCACAAAAGATGCTAGTAATGAGAAAATGTGTTTAAGGTGTCCTAATAGTTCACCAGGCACATAAGGGCTAAAAGAATCTGGAAAAAGGGGGATGAGGAGTTTGATAGCTTAAAGCTCACTTCTGTTATATTGTTTACAATTCTGTTGCAAAAGGTCAAGAATTCAGCAATATCAAAGTTCAGGATCTGAAACATGTGGGGTGGCTGTGGCTCAGTGGTGGAGTCGGTTGTCTCTCAACTAGTAGGTCGGCGATTTGATCCCCAGCTTCCTGCAGCCACATTTCGATGTTTCCTTCTGCAAAACACTTAACACCTGGCGTGTGAACATGCATGAACAGATATGTAAATAAACTGAGGGTCACTTTACACAGCAGCCTCTCCCATCAGTGTGTGAACGTGGTGATAAAGGGTAGATGTGACCTGCGGTGTGAAAAACACTTTGACTAGTCAGTAAACTAGAAACATAAAAAAAAAAAAAACAGAAGATGATTAGCTGATGTCAGGATATCTGAAACGACATACAAACCCAACTAAATGTGACACTTACACTCAAAACATAAAAAAAAGCAAACAAATATAGAAACATAGAAAGAATATCCACTGATTTACCCATTACAGAAAATTAAGTAAAAGTATCAGCCCCCAAATCCAGATTCAGGGAGAACCTGAAATCGCCTCTATTCTGGCACAAATTATTGAGATGAAGTGTAATCCTAAAGTTGAAGACAAGTGATTTACCTTAAAAGTTTAATCAGGAGGGATTGTTTTTTTCTTTTGGGGCTTTTTGTGCCTTTAATGGAGAGATAGGAGCTGGAAATCAGGAAGAGAGAGAGAGAGTGGGGAATGACATGCGGGAAAGGAGCCACAGGCCGGATTTGAACCTGTGCCCCAATCAGGAGGGATTCTTTGAGTGAGAATAAAGAGTCTGCAGTTTGTCAAACATTAATAACTTGTTTGTCTTTGTAATTGAGTGATTCAAATCACGTTTTATTTAATCAATACGCGCATTAAAACAATAAGTGCTTTGTTGTAGAATTCTGATACATTTCATCCAGTCTGTCCAGAACTTGAATACCTGCTGCAATTTAACTATTTATATGTGGCCTATCTTGAGCTCTCGGTCTCGATCTCTAAATGTCTTGGTCTCTGAGCACTCTGGTCTCGGGATGTCTTGGTCTCGGTTGGTGTGGTTAATTTCTTGCTGCTCCAGACAGATTGCCCTTCAGTGGTATTCATAAAGTCGTTTGAATTGAAATACATGTGAAACATTTCAGAATACCTCTTCACTTTTAGTATAATATTCGACTCTGAGTACCTTAAGCAGAGAGTTTAAGAATCTAACTTTGTTAACTCCAAATAAATGAACTAATTGGGTCATAGTGACATCATATTCTCATCCTGAGCTCAAGTCGTGTTTGACCTAGAGAGTGAAAGGGTCGACTGAGAACACAGCAGGGCGAGATGAGGACAACAGTCACCTCTCACGTTACTCCCTCTCTATTGTCGCTCATACATGAGTGTTGTGGGAAGGCAGCAGTGACCTCTGACCTGCGCTCTAATAATCCCCCTCTTAGAGGAAAGTGGAGAAGGTGATGAGGCGGAGTGGGATACACTCCTAAAAGCTTCCATTGTTGTAAGCGAAGGAAACATTAGCTCCGGCGCGCCTTGGGAAATGTTTGGTGCGCCATCTTTGTGTGTGCAGCAACTCCCATCTTCTGTGTGGAGACAGAGAGGAGGGACGTTCTGTCGTGTCATGTTAACCCAGGAAGAATTTAGTAAGGGGGGGGAGGCATGTGACATTCAGCACCTACAGCTACATCTGCTAGCCTCATGTTGATCTTCTATTGAGAGTATCCGTCCACTGCCAGATGATCGTTGTCTGACATGATACAAACACAAACGTCTATAACATTATTGCTCAGAAAGAAAGTGCTCAAACTCCTTTCTGAGTTTTCTTGAGATCTCGACTCATTTATGTCGTTATCTTGGTTTTCCCGTGATAATCAGTTCATTTCTTGACCTCCCCCCCCTTAAAAAAAAAAAAAGATTGCCTGAATTCAACTCGTTATCGAGGGAAAACCAACTCTGTTATCCAAAGACAACCACATAGCCTAAATAAGGCCAGACCTTGAGACATCCAAACCAACCTCATCAAACACAAGAGTCTACTTTAAAACATGGATACTGAAATAAAAACTTCCATGAATGCTCTTCATCTCTCAATCGAGGCTTACTCTAAAACACTTGATATGATTAAATGACAAGTTAAAAAAAAAGGACATGTTTGATAAATGCTGTAGGCTTATTATGGAAAACCATTGTCTATGTGTGAATCTAAGGTACATTAGACTGAGGTGGGCGAAAAAAAAGAGTTAATGCGGCACCGAACTAAAGACATGTCGTTTTTTATTCAACAGCATAATCTGACTCTTTTTTTTTTTTTTTTAATTTGACATCATTTTGAAATGATCTTCTAATGATGTTCATTATTTAAAGTTTTGCTGAATATACTGTGAAGTTGAATGTTACAGCTAAATGAGTAAAACAACCACACATGCGGCCTGATCCCAAACCAAAGCTATAAGCCCCGCCCACTTCCCCTTTAACGTCTACAGAAGAAATCAAGTTGGGAAGCATTTAAAAAAAGATTTGTTGACTTATTTCAGTAAATAAGTCAACAAATCTTTTTTTAAATGAGTTATAGTGGGGAATACTTTTAGTGTTTCTAAAATCCTGGCTCCGGTCCTCCTCCTTCAAAGACTGACATCATTATTTTTTGGGTGTATAAATAAAAAAATAAAAAAATCAATATAAAAAAAGTACAATTTAAATTAGATAAATTTTTATTGACATGGACATTACAATAACATTTGATGAACCCGGTGAATTGCCAGACTTTTTTTTAAGCAAACAAAACTTTTTGCGCTTTTTGCAAAAGTTGCAGATAATATAAGATTATTCTTATTTCTGGTCCTTTTCATTCAAAATGTGAGATTTAAAGTTTGTACTTATTGTTTGATGGATGGATTAAATAAACTTATATAAATTCAAATAATATATATAAATAGTTCTCAGCACTTGGCCACAGGAGAGAACATAAAAGTAATAATAACGATCATGAGGAAAGACAAATAAATAACAAGGATAGAAAGAGAGAAATTACGGAGCTCCTGAAGTCCCAAAAAGAAAAAGAAGTCGTGTTCGGAATAAAACAGCCTACTTATTTTGTGCGCACGAAGATTTTTTATTTTATTTTTTGCTTTTTGGGACTTCAGGGGCTCCGTAAGAAATAAAAATAAATAAATAAATAATAATAATAATATAATAATACAAAATAATAAGGACCAAAGACCAAAAGAAAAGAAATATATCCAGAAAGTATGTGAAGACAATTTAGAAGAAACTTTTTCCGTGTTTAAAAATACCCGGAATCTTTTTTTTTTTTTTTGGCTCCGACAGTTTTTCCACTTTTCTTTTATTGAAATAAAAGGCACAGGAACAACTTTGTATCGAGGTCTGTCTATAAATCAAACCTTACTTGTGCCACGCACTCGTCTTTTAATTTATTTATTATTATTTTTGGACACAACTGTCTTTGTTCACTTTGATTGGTGAAAAAGTATGTCAGTGGGTTACATTGGCAGCAGTGCAAGAGAGCTGCAGGGGAGGAGGAGCCGACAAACTGGGTCACATGGTTGAGCACCGCTCCTCGAAACAGACACACTGAAAAAACACCCACCAGTCCACCAAACCTCTGGCGGAGCGCTCTCATCGCAGGCGGCACCTTTTTCTTTTTTTCCTCTGATTGTCTCATCTTTGAATGGTGTTTGGTCTTTTTTCAATCTACCTGTAGTTTGGTTGAAACATTGAAAACAGGACGAGTTGTGCCTTTCGGTCTTTTGTTGTCAATCAGCGACTTTGTAGTTGCTGAGCACTAAAACAGAAACACGGATTCAGCACTGAGGTAGCACAGGAGGAGGAAAACCCCCAAAAAACTCGCAGGATATGGAGTCCACAAAGGCTGGTAAGTGTGCTTTCACCTTAACTCAGGTGTTGCTTGTTTCAATGGGCTTAGTTCTGTGTTCAGCAATCAGTTTCAATGAAAAAGCGTTTTGTGAAAGTAGAACAATAAGGGCACTGAGTTTTTTTTTTAAAAGCCTTCTTCATTAGTTAAAGTCTCAAATGTGAAAGATTGAAGCGTGTAGAGGTGTGTTAATTAAACTGGGTTAGGAGGACCAGGGGCTGTTGTTGTTACCCATGTACATTGGCTCGACCAGCACTGCAGTCGCCTCCTCTCACATGGACCGAGTGGCTAGCCATGTGCCCGTGTGTTTACGCTCCCCCGTGCGTCGCCGCTGATTGGTCGAGCTGCGGTCGTGACGTCGCCATTGCATAATTCCTCCCGTCGAGATGGCGTGGGTTCTCGGTGGTGATACACGTGAGGCAGCTCGCGGTGACCCAGTTTTGCCGGGGAAAAAGAACATGCACGGTCCGTGTGGGGGCGGGGTTTTAAAAGCGCCTGAAGCTATGGTGCGTTCAGGACCCGTCGGAGAAGGCAATATTAACTTTTGTCTTTTATGATGTAACATTTGAAGACGCTTTGCTTGAATAGTGCTTCCAGAAAGACTTGGTGTCCTTTTTCTGAATACAGCGTTAGTCAAGTGACTAAAATAACATTTAAAAAATGCACTGAACTGACACATTTCCATTTAAAATGTTATTAATAATATATATTTTTAAGCATGTTACTTTATCAACACACTTGTTGCGTAACCAAATGACACACAGCCAAATTGTTTTGTAGTATGGTAGGGTATGACATTTCCCATGGAGCTTGAATGCATCACCCTAGACTGTATACAGTTTTGCAGGAGGCCTTGTTCAAATGATTTCATTTTTACATGTCATAACACTTATTATTATTATTTCGACAACAGCTTATAATATAAGATTCAAGTTGTGTTTCTCTGTTTATCCGCCTTTTCTCTAAACAATGTTTCAGGTGTCTTCAAAAGCGACACCCTATTTTTCCAGTGTTGCAGATGGTGTTTATTACACACATCCCTGTTGTCTGAGAAATCTTTCAAGTCAATGAATGTGGTTGAAGCTGGACTTTAATAGGGTGACAATTGGTGGCTGAAGGCAACCTTTACATGCATCCTGTGGCATTTCGTGCAGAAAATCCGATGAAAGAAATGCCTTTCTGAGATGTAATAAATCAGTTGCATCATTACGAGCTCGGCTAGTTGAAATAAAATCAACCAGTGTTGGAAGTAGTTTGGCACTAGATGTTTGTTCAGGTCCAGTATGTGTGAATGGCTGCAGGGAGGGGCCAGACTGCCTACTACACACACCCAGCATAGCTTGCCATTATGCAATACTTGTTACCTAAGAATTTAGAATGGCAAGAGGAAGAAATCAGGTCAGCCTATGTTGAGGGGGGAAAAAGTGTCTCAGCCGTCTGCTCGATTCCTACTGGCTGAGGCGACTGTATGTCCTGCCTCTTTATGCTAAGCTTGTTGGTTTCTACAGTAAAACTGCCCCGACTTGCTGATGGTTACAGCCACATCATTCATACGAGGAAAGAGACATAGCAGGGAGGAGCAGGCATGCGCACAGATTACAGAGCAGACGAGGAGAAAGAAACGCCATCTACTGAAACTTGAACATTATGTAATAATTATGTAAGATATGAAAGGCCTGGTAGTCTTAAAGGGAAATGTTATGCCAAATGATCATAGCAACAAAAGCAAGGCGGATTAATAAATAAATAAAAATCTTAAAACTTTTCCTTTATTCTGTCCATTATTGAAGTAAAATACACCTGGTTTAGATTTCACCCAGAAAGAAACTTCTGCTCTGTGTTGGGTTTGTTGCTTCAGTCCTTTTCATCATGGCATATTGTCTCTCTCTCTTTGCCCTTGGACCACTAGGAGGCGTAATAGCCTACATCAGCTCGTCCAGCTCGGGCTCTAGCCCGGAGTCGTGTCACAGCGACTCCTCCAATGGCAGCTACCAGTCATCCTCGCCGTCTCACAGCTCCTCGCCCGGCCGCCACCAGCAGGGACAGCTGGCTGACCCTGCACTCCCAACTGGCGGCCCCAATCTTCCAGGGACTCAAAAAAGTGGACGCTCCACCGGCACAAAATGTGGCATCACAAGTAAGATGGTCGCATTGCTTTGTGTTTTGAAAAGCTGCCTGTGTTAGTCTTACCCGTCCTTTCTTTTTAGATTTAAATAGGCATTGGTAGTTGTGAAACAATGAATCAAATACTGGGATCCCATGCATTTAATACCCTAACCAGTGTCCTTGTATTAGCCTGGTACTGGTTGTTTTACCCCACTACAACAACAAAAAAATCCCCTAAATCTCACAACACTGCGTTTCCACAAGATGGCGATTTACTAGAGAGGTGAACAGTTAGAACAGAAGAATTATCTATTTGTCGGGTGCTGATGGCCCAGCGGTTAGGTTACAACCCATGTACAGAGGCAGTAGTCCTCTAAGTGGGTGGCCTGGGTTCAAGTCTGACCTGCCACTCCTTCCCTGCACGTCAATCTCAATCTCTTGCCAGATTTCCTGCGCTAACCACTGTCCCATATAAATGAAGGCAAAAGGCCCCCCACACACACACACACACACACACACACACACACACACACACACACACACACACACACACACAAAAAAAAAATATCTTTGAAGCCACTACAATGGTGTGTTGAACTTCATTGTTCAAGTCCTGCAAACCCAAAATGATGGGCTTGTTATTTGTGTTCTGATTTTTTATTTTTTTGTGTGTGTGTACCTTCTCAGAAATCAATGGCCTGGTGCTGCTGTGTAAAGTTTGTGGTGATGTGGCGTCTGGTTTCCACTACGGCGTCCATGCCTGCGAGGGATGCAAGGTAAGGACAGCTCTCTGAAACAACTACCACCCCCTTCCCCCTTTCCTTAGACTCACACAAGCACTTACATACATACCTCTATCAGGCTGCACCTGTATATAAACGTGTACCTCTGGTTAATGAATGAAAACGATAACAGTGATGCTATTTTTGAACTGTTATATTATTCCAAATTTGTAATTGACCTTGCATAACTTAAATGTTACCAGAATAATTTAGCCACTATAACAAATCTCTTTTTGTGGCTGTCTGATGTTGCAAAAGTCCTCTGTTGGTTATATAAATAAGCACACACTCACACACACACACCACACTGCATCAGAATCAGTTTCACTCCGTGACTTTGGACATAAGTTGAAGTGGGTCACCGCCAGCCGAGCCATCTGTACAACTTCATGCAGAGACTCGCTGAAACTAGTTCATGCTCCCCATGTTAATATTAGCTGCCTCTTACACCTCACATTGCTGCATGGCCTAGTTAGCTGTGGGGTGCACACATCAGGAACACACACTTGTATGAGTAAACCCACATTGCAGTATTAATATGAGGAGCTTTATTTGAATAATTTGTGATTTGTGTTTTTGACACACAGGGCTTCTTTAGGAGGAGCATCCAGCAAAACATCCAGTATAAGAAGTGCCTTAAGAATGAGAGCTGCCCTATCATGAGGATCAACAGGAACCGCTGCCAGCAGTGTCGCTTCAAGAAATGCCTGATGGTCGGGATGTCCAGAGACTGTAAGTATCTGTAGAAGTTGTTTTCAGTCTCTGATTTAGACTTTTATCAGGAAGCCGTCTTTTTACATACAAATAAAAATGTATGAAATGACAGAGCATGATAAATGCAAAGTTGTCCATGGACAATAAGTGCCACATCATGTCAGTTAAAAGGTCTGCTTTCGTCAGTGTAGATTTGAAGAAGGCTGCTGTTTAAAACAAAAACATGACCTTGACTGGAGGGATTCTTTATGAAAAGTTGTCAGATACTTAGTATAACAATGTAAAAGAAAAAATCACACAGAGTGAGAGTCCGTTGTATTTATCCGCAAAGGCAGTCGGTCATGCAGCATAAAAAACAGTATTCAGTATTTTGTTATTGAAGAATAAATGGAAAACAGCGTATTGCACACTACAAAACTAAGGTTTTTTTTTTTAAATCTTCTCTTTTAAGCTGTGCGCTTTGGCCGGATCCCTAAACGCGAGAAACAGCGCATGCTGCTGGAGATGCAGAGCGCCATGAACAACATGATGAACAACAACCAGCTCAACAGCAGTCAGACCCTCTCTATTAGCAAAGCACTGACGGCCAACAGCGCTGAACCTACCTCAGGGGACACAGGCACCGGCCACTCCTGTTCTCCATCCAGCCAACCAGACTCCAGCTCTGACCCTGAGCCTACCGTCGCCATGGACACCAGCCCCAGCTCTGCATCCACCAGCTCGTCGGACAGCGGGGAGGAGGAGGTGATCGGCTCAGTGACCAGGGCCCATCAGGAGACCTTTATGTACAACCAGGAGCAGAGTGGCCTGACAGCTGAGGCCGCGACCCCCTCTGGCCCTCTGAACAATGGCACCGCCCAAAACACCGCCAACAGCCAGACAGTGGAGCTGCGGGACTCCTGGAAGAACCACCAAAACAACATGGTCACCGTTTCAGCACCGGAATCCTCAGCTAGCCAGGGCCTCCAGCGCCAGGAGGACAACACCAACCACTGCCCCTTCAGGCTGTCCAGAGCCGCTGCCTCCAGCCACTGCCCAGCCTACACCCACGGCGCCTTCAGAGCTCCACCCGCAGACGGCCCTGCCAACGGAGCCTTCAGTGGGCCTCAGTGGAGAGGAGGCAACAGGATGTACCTGGTATGATACAACACCTTTCAGACACATATCATATAGATAATCTTTCTGGCCACATGGGGGCAGCAAAGCACCGCATCTAACATGTTCTTACCTTTTGGACACAGTGAGGAAAAAGTTCACAATACAAGCTGTTTTAAATTCTTTGTACTTTTTCATAGAGAGGGATAATATTCTATTTTAAAAACATTTTCTGTGGATCATTAACAATACATTTTTTTAATACAGTTTATTATAATATATTGTTTTTTTCTCCTCTGTGGTGTCCTCAGCTTTGTCCAATGAACACATCTGCTCAAGTGAACCCTCACAAGTCCGGCCACGAGGTGTGGGAGGAGTTCTCCCACAGCTTCACCCCTGCTGTCAGGGAGGTGGTGGAGTTTGCCAAGAAGATCCCCGGCTTCAGAGACCTGTCCCAGCCGGACCAGGTCAGCCTGCTGAAGGCTGGCACCTTTGAGGTACACCCTATCTCTCTGTCCTGCGCGGCAGATTTCTCCCAGTTTTCACTGAAAGCTGATGTTGTTCAGAAGAGTTGCACTTAACTGACAGAGCACTGATTGTTCTGCAGGTGTTGGTGGTTCGCTTTGCTTCTCTCTTTGATTTGAAGGACCGCACTGTCACCTTTCTGGGTGGAAAGAAATACAGTGTGGATACTCTGAAGGCCATGGGGGCCGGAGACCTCCTTAACTCCATGTTGGACTTCAGTGAGAAGCTCCTCAACCTGGGCCTCAGCGAGGAGGAGATGAGCCTCTTCACAGCTGTGGTTCTGGTCTCTGCAGGTTGGTTTGAATTTAGCTTTTCATCCTTTTTTTTATATTGTATGATTCATTCATAACACAATACTTTGAAGCAAATGCACCGGATCAAATGATGTCCTCTGAAAGTTCTTGTTTTTGCACCTTAAATGCTCAGATTGTTACATGTGTGACATCATGGCGCCGTGATGCTTACATTTACTCTCTGTTCTTCCAGATCGTTCTGGCATCGAGAACGTGAACTCTGTGGAGGCCCTGCAGGAGACGCTGATCCGCGCCCTGCGCAGCCTCATCACCAAGAACCACCCCAACGAGTCGGCCATCTTCACCAAGCTGCTGCTAAAGCTGCCTGACCTGCGCTCGCTCAACAACATGCACTCGGAGCAGCTGCTCGCCTTCAAGGTCCATTCCTGAAGTCTCCTGTACTACTTGACCTGACACAAACTGTAACGGCCCTGGAGGGCCACACCCTCCCATCCCAACCAAACCTGCACCTCTCCACTTCTCCCATGATGCTTTGAAAGCTGGAAACCTGACATTAAAAGTGGGAGGAAGACCATAAAATGTTCTTGTACTGTACTGTAGGGCGTAACAGCCTGTGTGATGGTAATGCGTACATACAGACACACTGATTGATGTATATGTTTCTTGTGTTTGTGTGTAGCATACTGTTTGTTTGCAAGTATACAAATGTTAGAAGCACTTTTCTGTATAGTGTAGGCTGGTATTTTTGCATTCATAGTGCAATATGTGACTGCTTCTATGATTTGAACTGTTTAGCTTAGAGGTGAGTGTGCTTTTCTGGCACACATTAATATGAATAGGTGCTGATGTCATAAGGCGGCAGGAGAAGTTGAAATCTTAAAAAGACCCCTGGACTCGAAATGACTGATTATGTAGAATTGTCTATAGAATAAAAAATATTAAAATTGAAAGCAGACGACAATGAGTGTGGAAGTAAAGCTGCTGAGCTTGCCAGTTAAGCCATCAGACTCTTTAATTTGAACAACTTAGGGACGCAAAATAATTATGGACGTCATAAAGTTACACTTCCCTGATGTTTCTTGTAGAAAAAAAAAAAAAAAGGTGAACATCTCAGTCACCAGCAGCAGCTCGCCCATCTGCTTGAAAAATCGTTTCTTTTCCACAAACTGTACAGGCTTTAGTTGAGCGTAGATTAACTGAATAGGTAGGAGTGTTAAGAATATGATTGTAATATCACTGAAGTGATTGTAATTTAAAGATGTGGCGTCCGCTGACTAGCTGGTGTTGAGATCTTTTTTTTTTTCTTATTTTGCCACCATCTTTTTTTTGGTTTGTTCTTTGTTGGTGAATTCAGAAAGTCTGGTCTTTTGAATATCCAGAGCTTCTGTCATTGTGTTAACGCTGTTGACAAATGGTTCTGTTCTTCTCTGTGAAAGGATTGCAGTATGCATAGATTTCTATATATATATATATAGAGTATACATACTATCATACATACATAATTGTATAGATGAATATATCTATATAAATAAATTTTATAAATGCAGTTTCATGGTGTGAGTTGGTTATTGACTTTCTGGTTTTCATAGTGAAGCCAAATTAAGTTTACCCTGTGTGGTTGTATGAACAGGATGTAAATATTATAAGATGAAGCCTGAGTGATGTAACTCATCTGTTCCTGCAGGGGGCGTGGGAGTCCCATCGATGGGCGGTGCCTTGCTGGATATGATAGGCTGAGAGCCGGAGGCGGGTTTACCTGTCACTCAGGTGAGCTACGCGCCTTAATAAGAATGGCGCTTATTTTTCATAAAATCAAAACAGAGAAGGAAAAAAAACCTCCGCACATCCACTTTACAAGACAGGTGTGTAGGAGAGCAAGGTGTCCATCAAAAACTTGAAGATAAACTCCCGCACACTGTCTAAATTGCGAACATACATTTATTGGGAGCGTTTCGGTGTTAGACCTTCATCAGGCAAAAAGTGGCCTTTTTTTTTCAGCCTGATGAAGGTCTAATACCGAAACGTTAAAACAGTAAAACTACAGATGGTTTTACTGTATAGGACAATATAGGAATGAAATCATGAATAAATTCAGAATAATAACCCAGTATTAATCTACATTTTATTTTATTTCCATTTTTCCTCTGCCTGGATCCAGAGAAGTGACAAAATAAAACATGTTATTTGTCTTTCCATTTATAAGGAAACTTTGAAAACTATTCAAGAGACGTAAATATAAATCTATGTTTTAAGGAAATGTGGGGAAGTGCTGAATTTATTTTGGTGTTTAATGGAGGCAATAGCGCCACCACATGGCTGTTTACTCACACTTTAAACCACATTGTATGTACAGACTGTATTATTATTATATCAACACGTTATTATTGTTTTCCACGTCTGGTTAGTTTATAAAATAGAAGAAAAAAAAACAGTAGCTCTTGTATTTCTGTTTCTTTGTTGAAAAAGAGCTGTGTCATAACCATAGACTGTAGATATTATAACAGCATAAGAGCATTTATAAATATTGAAAATTAATATTTGACAGGTTCAGTTACAAAGAAAAACTTTGACGTCCCGAAACTTAAATAGAAATTGATTGAAACTTCAGGTATTGAAACTTCAGGTATAATAACAAGATTCATGAAGAAGTACGTTTGTATGTGAACGTCTTAGAAATCAGAGCTCAGCATTTTGACTGTTGTAGTTTGTCAATCTCACCAGCAGGTGGCGGTCAGGCAGCTCTTCCTCTCTGTCCACTCACTGACTCTCCCTGCAGCTGCCTTGTGTTCACTCCGAAAAACCAAATCAGAAGTGATTTTAGATCTTTAAAGACGAAGCAGGCACAGATTAAGAAAGGCTTTACATTATGTTTAATTATTATATTGATTTATTGTAGCCTCTTTATGGCCTCTAACTCAAAATGTAATTTGATTCTTTTTGACTTTCAGGCTACATAGAATTTTAAAACTGTTCAAAGATGCAGAACTCCATCCTAGTGTTTGTCGGCTCTTTTTGACAGAACCAAATGCTTTATGGGAACATTTTGAAAAGCATGGAGGCCAAAAAAGGCTTTGATATTCAAATAAACAAATACAAATAATGACATCAACCTAATATTAAAGAAAACTAATTTGTATGGAATTGAGCAAAAATCTTGACTTGATTCAACGCCGTAAAAATAGAGCTATTGCCCTGTGGTTGTATTTGATGGCCATGTTAAAATACCAGATGGAATAAAGTTCCCCTATTCCCTCGCATTCATGAAATGGGGTGATGGAGATTAGGTCACAGCGACCCTGACCACTAGAATCATGACGTTTCATCCGGGGGTTTCAGGTGGATGTGTGCTACGTTGAAGAAATCACCTCCAGGTGTTCCTAAAAGAATGTAAATACCTTTTTAAGATTAAGTGGTGAGTGACAGACCTGCTTCGTCATTTTATTCTAAATAGACATTTAAGTGAAATTGTGTAATAATAAGTTTAGGGATCCTTGAGTTATGGCCATGACTGTTATATGGAGATGTATCAGTGTATGTGATCTTTGACTCCCAATTTTAATCAGTTCAGTCAGACAAATCACGTTTGTATCATTGAAAATATGTATTGCAGTAGAACATAGATTGTCGTTTTTCCTCTCTTTTTTCTTACCTTTCCACCTTAACCTCTCCTACACAAGTGTGCCTGTAACCGCTTCAGAGACAACTCCACTACCAAACGGAGGTAAGCTGGTCCACTGTTGTTTTGTCTGCTATTTGTCCCGACTACAGCGCACCTTGTATTACTCAACATCCCCCGACACACAGTGAGCACGCCAGCTTCCATTCATAGTTTTCAAACATAGTTCGTGTTTGGCTCCGACCTACTCGCTCCTCACAGTTTTTAATTTACATGCAGAGATTTGAGAAAAATAATGGGATGATATCTTAAACCCTGCAGTTGGAGTCTACAGGTGGATGCTCGGGTGGTGGTGGAGTGAGCAAGAGCGTGCTACTGGTGCAGGTCAGAGCTGGCGATGAAAGAGCAGAGGGAGAGAGCGGAAATCTTGCAGCTTAAATAGACAGCTAATTGGAAGGAGGCGTTGTCAGGAGATTGTAGATAATGCCGCATGTCAAGTGTAAAATAAGTGCAGCTTGAGTTGACTGGCTGAATTAGCTCGCAGGCATCACCTCATTTTAACCTGAAGTCCAAGTGGACATTTGCGCTAGATCCAAAGAAGTTGCCTGCTGAGATACTTTGTTCACCAGAATAGGACAGAAAGCCGCTGTTGATGTCACAGAAGAAGAAATAAATACATCAGTGTCAATCGCAAACAGGTAAGAAAATGTACAGATGATTTAACTGCCCCAAAAATAAAACTCCAGAGCCAAATTCTCTCAAAACCATCTTTATTCTCAAGAGCCAATTCACATTAGCTGCAATCATCATCGTCAATCGTGAGCATCAAAATCATTTCCTCTTGAGTTTCCCTCCTCACTCATGTCATAAGCACCGTCCACACCTGGACAATGATTACGGACAAGCGTTCCAGTAAAGAGCCGAGTGCAAGACGGCAGATTTGGAAAACAGAAATGTTGTCATCTTCTGTTTTCCTGCTGCCACAGATTTACTCCTCCTAAACACCTAAGCACACTTAATCTCCCTTTCTCTCCATGACGGTTTTCCAGTAAGTGTTGAACAGATGAGTTGAACAAGAAGACACTCAAACACACAGGGAGAGAAATCGGTGTCCATGGTGAACGACTTCTTCTGATACTGGTTACACTTTGACCGAGAAGTTGTCATGAAATGTGTTCCTGTGTAGCTGTGCTGCTTTGTACAGACAGTGAGCTCCAGCTACAGTAACCATTGATTTATTTTTTTTATTCATTGTTAAAATTATACATTATTTAAGTGTTTTTTTTCACAACTTCTTGCTCTTAATTCTTTTGCGAAGATGTGGAAATGGATTTGAGAGCAAGATTGGTATTTTTTTTTCCAACGCTATGCAAAACAATATGTTCATATTTATGCTCATAACATCCGTAAAAAAAATCTGCAGTCTGAAAATATACATCCTTTTTCCTTTATACGTTAAAATAGCTTTTCTATGGTGCAACTCTTGTTATTGGTTTTGTAACTGAGTAACCTTAAGAGTAACAACCCGCGAGAGAGAAAACAGTGAACTGGCACCTCTTCAGGAAAAACATCCTGAACCAGCAGTCAGCATTGACTATGTTTACATGCAACGACAGATCTGTGCATATGAAAATTCAAGTAATTATGGTGTGTGACGCAAAAGTTTGACACATTACGACTGTTAACTCCACTTTACACAAACCCTACAACACCACAAACATTTGTTTCATCAAATACAAAAAGGGTTTGTTGAAAATAACTTTCAGATTTTGTTCTTATTTTGGGGATTATGCCTCACTCATTATTCATTTTATCTAACTATCGCAATATCTTTATCTTATCGCAATAGTTCAGGTGAGAGCCCCAAGTCTATAATATAGAGAATTGTGTACATGGACACATTACTCCCTTTTCTTCGTCTCAATCAGTTCAAATTTCAGACCACTGCTTTCTAATTGGAACTATATTTTGTGCCTGTTAATATGTCAGCCTCATCTTCTTGGTTGCCTTTAGCTCTTTCTGCAGAAATGCACTTGTCTGCACGTGTTCTATTTTAAACCAGATGTTAAAATTGCTGAGTCAACATTGGCCAAACCGCGGTCTTTTCCTGAACATCTCAGAGTCGTCAGAGTTTGCGCCTTGATATCAGTAAAGATGGTCAAAATTTGGGTAAATATAGTCACCAAAAACACTTTGAATGGTGGAAATAAAATAATGGTTTAGGTAAAGTCACATTACAAATGTAAGATGACCTCTTTCAGCAAAAAAATACTTGACTTTGGGGCATAGATGGCATAGCAGTCAAGTCGCTATACAGAAGCTATCGTCCTCCAAGTGGACGGCCCAGGTTCAAATCTGACCTGTGACTCCATTCCTGCATGCCATCCTCATCCCCTTTTCCAAATGTCCTGCTCTATGCACTGTCCTATACAACTAAAGCATTAAAAAAAAAGGCCAGGAATAAAATCTTGACTTTTAATTTAT